GAGAGATCGTTGGAAATTTCGGTGACTTATTATGAATGTTTGAATCGAAGTAAGGAAATGTGCCTTCTATACAATACACTTATTCAGTTCGTTGTCTCTTTAAATAAAATCTAAGACATTAATCACGTACGCTCAAGCTTGTGATCTTCTAGTCAAATTCAAAAAGATATGGAAAGTTTGACAGAGGGAACAAGAAAGTCTATGTTAGCCCACCGTGGCGCTATGCTCACGTGCTCTTGGATATCTCATCGGAATCAGGGAAAACACATGTCTTCCTTTCAATCACATTTGATTGTGATTTTACATATTACTCATTTAAACAGTACCTATCACTAGAAGTTATGTGTTTGCTTTACATGGTACAAGTGATGAGTGATTTGTCTCAGTCTGAATCTTCCTCGAAAAGGAACAAGTAAGGAGTCACTATTGTTCTTTCGTTGTCTTCTCCTCTTGCTACATTAGCTGCACCCATCTCTCTTGAACCTAACCGCTGCTTATAGATTGCATCATAAGCCTCTATGTTTAGTCCTGATGCGAGGAAGAGTTCTATCTCATCCACAAACCGGTCTGTTCTCGCCATTATGAACGGACGAGCTGCCTCTGCGACAACCGCTTTGAACTGTTCTTGATCCGTCTCCGCGGTTCTTGCTTCTTTTTTGGGTCTCCATTCGATTCTGAAATGAGAGGAACTGAGGAAGTAAGTCTGCTATGTTTCACATGCCATGGACTTTCATAAACATCTTCAAGCGAGCATAAACATTGTTCGAAAGAGATCAAACTTATTTTGAAACTGCAAGCCAATCAAGATAACTCTGATCCATGAAATCTAGTTCTTTACGTTTTCCTTAACGAGTTTCGTACCTTTTTCGAAAAGAATCCATTACTCCAACCAAATGATGCAGAACAATATCAACATCTTCCTCCTAGAGAAAATGAAGAAAATTGAGTTAAAGCGTTGAACAAATGATCTTTGCAAACAACTGAACAAGAAGATAACAGAGCAAAGACATAAAATCCATAAAACGGATCGCACGTGTACCTGCATCAGAGCTTGAAGCTCCCTCCTCAACCAGGTTTCAAGCAACCTGTTTGGCTGAAGACACTTTTGCATCTTCCAAAACCTTGGAACATCAAATACATCAGCCAAGAGACCTGGTCACAACGAAACCCGAGTAAGAATTACCTTTTAACTTTTCTTATGAAGTAATAAACGTATTTGAGTCCAAAACTCATAAGACCTAAAGAAAATATGAAAAACCAATCAGAAATGCAGAGAAGGGTAGAACCTGACTCTGCGTAGTAACATAGCAACCTGTATCTCTGTTCTTTTGTCAGGACAAAACTGCACAAAAAGGATGAATTTAGAACTCTGGTATCAAAATATACTCAAAACAAATATAATCAACTCGAGGAAAAACACCATATATCCTACCCATCTGTAATATTACGGTTGATATAATGCCGGTCAAAAGAGTGGCCGTCGTAGTTGTGGATGATTGAGATGTTATCAGTCTGCATATTGATATGGTCATTCCTGTAAACAAGTTCTCGAAGTTGTTCACTGCGGAGAAAAGAACGTTTCATGGAAGCAGACCTTACAGAGTGGACACTTGACAGAGGATAATTCCTTAGAGACCTTGCTTGAAACAACTTTGATCCATTGTTTGATGCAGTTAAAACAAAATTTATCTGCAACACAACACAAAGACATGATTAACATTACATCTCTAGTCTAAATCATAAACCTATGGCCTATCTTCTAAGATACACACAAGACCTAATCAATCAAAATCCTTTTATGAATCCGTTCAAATTGTTCACAGAAGAAAGTGAGAGGATCAAAAACCCAGATTGAAATCTTTGAATACACAAACCCTTAAAACACTTCAAATTCTTAATGAAATCGAGGAATCATCCAAAAAAATTAACAGAGAATT